TGTACAGATCAAATCGAGCATTTGTCATTTCCCTAGTGACTTAACATACTCTCTGTGCCTTGAGACCTCAAATTATAGTAAGCAGAGTAGATGCTTTAACTCTTTTATTTAGTTTAATTGGCCATATTCCACTTGTTCAGAGTATGTGGATTTGTTTAAAATTAGCCCTCACTTCTCCTTAATATATTAGAATAGGAAAGGAGGGAAATTTCTTTTTAGAACGTATTGCATAGTGAGGGTGAATGCAAATTATTCTACTATGATCCTTAATGACCCGCTATTAACATAGTAGGAAACCTAGTGTGTTAAGGCAGTACCTCTTTTCACATCATTATTCCTAATGGAACTGTTACCAGGATAATAGTGTGACCTTTAGTTATAAATTCAGAGCGCAAAACTATGTTCTGCTTACTCGATGCCTCTATTCACATAGCACATTGACTGTTTTCAGATCAATGCAGTGACAATCTTTTGGCCTTGTTCTGAGGCCTCATCTGTGATTGTAATGCAGAGAATAGGATTTCGTCTTCAGTAGGTGAATTCTAGTTAAAAGTCTCTTTTAAGTTTGGATGTAATCCATGAACTAGAATGTCAATGATGCACCCAGTAGAAATATTTATTTGTATAGGTATTTTTCAAGAAGCCTATGGCCATGCCTTCAAAGGTCTTAGACACAGCCCCAGGAGGCAGCCATTTCTGTTGAAACCACATAAGTTTTAACTGAAAGGAGAAAAAAACGACAAGGAACGGATGCCTTCTTAGTGAGTGACAGAATACTTGATCTCAGGGTTAGATGAGAAAGGTTTGATCTGAAGCCTTTCATGGAGTGGGAGAAAGCGTTCCACGGCCACCCTCCCTTTGGTCCCCCTGAACTTGGCTGTGATGCACATGGGAGTCTCTTTGATGTTGGCTCAGTCCAAATCTACTTTGTTAGTTTGGAGCCACTACTTTCTAATGTGTGACAATTTAGACACGTGTATTTCACAATCTAAGCAAAGAGGGGTTGCTATGGAAATTAATTGTGTAAATAATATTACAAGCGGGAAGATGTTCGCCTGCTAAGACTATATTCAGCCATTTTTGGAGTATACATTTTCATGTAAGTGAATAGTGTGCTAAATACAAATTTTTTATATTTACTAAGACAGAACTTCAAGAACCTTTCGGCAGTTCTCTGGTTAGTGAATGTTATTGTAGGCATTTCTGTGTAAATAATATTACAAGCGGGAAGATGTTCACCTGCTAAGACTATATTCAGCCATTTTTGGAGTATACATTTTCATGTAAGTGAATAGTGTGCTAAATACAAATTTTATCTTCTTGAAGACAGAACTTCAAGAACCTTTCGGCAGTTCTCTGGTTAGTGAATGTTATTGTAGGCATTTGAATGTAATAAAACCTTATTTCTTTAAGTATAATCTATTAATTAAGACTTCCTACTAATTTAGATAGGCCAATCTCCCCCAATTAGTCTAAATTTGTGAGCTATTGTATTTGTTTCCATTAGAAACAAAACTGGAAAATATGTTTGTTTGCTCATCAAATGTTTATTATTGTTTCTATTCAGTTCAAGGCACTCTGATGGGTGCTTTGAGGAAGACAAAAGAAAGGAAGACCCTGAAGTTGTTTATGAACCGGTGCAGGAGGTTTACAAGCATTTCTACCTGCCAGGGCCATCATTTCCCCTGTGTCTCTCCCAGCTGGAGACTGCTTCCTGTCCCCTGCCCTGCATGGCACACATTGGATATTTCCTCATGCATAATTCTGCTTCCTAACCATCGCTCCTCCTCTGCTCAGTTGGGCCTGCCGTGGAACCTCCCTGCGAAGGCTCCTATCCCAGCTGCACATCTTCCTCTCACTCCTAGGTCTTCCTGTCATCCTGAATAACTTTGCCGTCCACACGAAAGACTCATGGGACCCCCTGGCTACATACTGTAGTGTCTTGGCCTCATCAACGGTGACCTTCACCTCTGCTACCCCTCAGCCCCACACCACCGCCACACCTGCACATTATCACACATGACTGCTTCGCTGCTGCTCTGTGCTCCATATCTCAGTGGCACTGTTCTAGCTGTCTCCCACCCAGCTCCACGAACCCTTGCTTGACAATCCCAGTGACGTCCCCATGTCCTGATCTCTGTAGATATCTCCAAGTCTGTGAGCCTCTTTCTGGCTTCACTGCCTTCCCAGATTAGGGGTGGGGGTGGAAAGGTGAGATCATTCATTCCAGATGACATATTCACCAACATCTTCAAGTGCTTTATGTTCCTGTTCTTCTGCCAAAACTGTCTGGCAAAATCGTGACCTGAGACTGTGTCCTAAGTAGGAGCCACAAGCTGCTGATGGAGAAAACCTCCCATGCAGATGGTTGTCACCACAAACTATTACTTGTCCTCAGACGACTTCTTTTCCTGTCCTTCTCAGAGATGATTACAAATCTGCCTCACACTCTCCATCCTCGGTAGCCCCTGGCTGTTGAGTTCTGGGAGATCTCAGGAGTGATCACTGCAGCATAGATCTTCCCTCCCCTCTAGATTCGGAGGAGGACACTCTCTCCTTCTGTTGGAAAGCAGCCCCCCACTTCTATCCTGGGTCCCATCATCCCCAACTCCTCCTGGATGGCTCCTTCGATTGTGTCCTTCTTTTACTCGTACCCTCCTTGCTCCACCATCCTGGCTGCTCCCTCAGCTCCCCGGCCAGCCTTCCTCCCAGTAACCACGCCACCCGTCTGCCTCTGAGCCAGGCTTTCATGAGTGTCATCTGTGAGCCCCCCCCACGCCCTTGACCTTGGGTAGACACTTCCCACACCTCCCTTCCCATCCCTCTCCTCCACACTTTAGCTGTTGGCCCCTCCTCTTTATGGGATCCCCTCGGTGGCCTTTGTAAGACCCTCTTCCCAGGGCTCCTGACTGTCCACCCATCGCTCCTGGGCCCTCCTGGACTCCTGCCTTCATCTCCTTCTCCACGTGGGGTCCTCTGTGTGGCCAGTGCTGTCTGCATGCTCTGTGATCTCTCTGGCTAATGCTTTTTCTCTCACTGTTCAGCCACCACATATGACTTTTCCAAAAAGTTTGTGGAAAATAGAATTGAAAGATAATACAAGGGCTGGCCGGTTAGCTCACATGTGGCCAGTGCTGTCTGCATGCTCTGTGATCTCTCTGGCTAATGCTTTTTCTCTCACTGTTCAGCCACCACATATGACTATTCCAAAAAGTTTGTGGAAAATAGAATTGAAAGATAATACAAGGGCTGGCCGGTTAGCTCACTTGAGAGAGCACGGTGATGGTAATACCAAGGCCACGGGTTCGGTAACAGCCAGCCACCAAAAGATAAATAAATAAATAATAGCTTGTATTAAAAAAAAAAAAGATAATATGAATCTTTCCATGAGCTTGTTGAAGACCCCTCTTGTGTGTCTGTGTATCTTCAGGCCAGCCCCATTCCTCTCGGGGCCTTCTCTGTCTGGATATTTGCTAGCTGTGCCACAAGCACCCCAGACTCAGCAGGTCCTGAACCAAACCTGCTGGATCCCACCTTTTACCTCACAAACCTTCCCTTTCTTCTGTGTTTCCAGTGTAATATAATTCACCAAAATGCCAGTTCTCTGCCCTAGATACTTCACTAGCTCAGGCTACTGCAGGAGCTTCCTAAAAGGAACCCCCTCTTTCTACTCCAGGCTCCCCCAAACCTTCCTGCACAATAGGATTGTTTACATTGGTTTGATATGAGATCACATACATGGCTTTTTTCTTCTTTCAAATTATTTCCAGGATAAATTTCTAGAAGGTTAAAATTACCAGTCCAAAGGCGTAGCAGTTTTATGTCTCTCCTTCTACATTACTCTTATTTCCTGAAATGGTTTGGCCAGTTTACACCAGTAGTAATGTTTGAATGTGCCAGGTCCCCATAATTTTACAATATCAAGTATTAACTTTTTTAATGTTTTTCTAATTTAGTAGGTATCAAGTATATTTTGCAGTTCCTTGGTTTACATGTTAAACATTTTTCCTAATGTTTTTTTGTTAAATATACTTTGCCCATTTATCTATGGGGACTTTTTAAGTTGCTGTTTTATTTGAATGAGCTCTTTCTCTGGTGGTAGATATTGAATCTTTTCAGTCATATTTAGTGCAACTAGCCTTTCTTCTTCTGATGAAATGTTTCTTTTTCATTCAATAGAAATTTTACATTTTTATATAGTTGAATCTGTCAATATTTTCCTTTGTCATATCTTCTTAAAAGAAATCTTTTGAAACATTAAAATTACCAATATTTTAAATACCATGAAGGCAGTGGGATATGACTGCCTCCTAGATCTTGACCTTATGGAGAACAAGTTGAAAAGTGCTCAGGAGCAGAGTGCATGGCAGAAATGTCAGCAGCAGCACCTAGGTGCAGTCACACACTGTGCGCAGCTTTCCTGAGATAATTGTCCTTTTGTCCCGCCATGATTCTCCATAGTTTCTTTTGTGCTTAACAGGGTGGCTCTTTCCTGGGAGCTAGTGCAACATGCAAGGGTTGACTCAAAATTCAGATTCACAGCTATATTGTTATGTACTTTGAGTACTGACTTAGTAGGAATCGCCGTGAGAGTACCATCTTTTTGTGTAGTTTTTCATTTGGTTTTGAATTGACAACAAAAAAGCAGTCTTTTAATATATTTGTTGAACTTTGTCGTGGGGCCAGTGGACCCATAGGAGGCATTTTCTTCTCTACATATGAAACATGTTCACATGAATGTGGAGCAAGGAAAAAGTGCAGTTTCCACACTTAGTATGTGTAGCCAGCTTCATTCTGAAGCACAGCACATTGTATGTAGCCAGGGTCCTGCCCATCTCCACCTTTGCCAAAGGAATATAATATGGATATTAAAGATATGCACTGCAGAAGTTACATTCTTTAGAAATATACTGTTCTTTTCTTCTTGGGATATATTTCTATTTCAGATCTGAATATTTCCTTTGTTAAAGTATTTAACACTATTTTACATTTTCTTTCAGTCTTCACAGAAAAGTACTGTACTGCTAACCATGTGGATAAACTTCCTGGCCCAAGAGACTGGGTACAGATTCTACAGGATCAAATTAAACTGGCCAGAAGAAGGTTAAAAAGAGGCTCAGGTATGAATAAGCAGCAAGAAAATAATTGCAGACAAACTTTATTGAATTCTTAGACTTTATAAAGTACAGTACTTTGCTCTAGGGTATTTCGGTGTCTTTTGCCTTTCAAAGAAGCTCTATGTAATATGCTATGGTTTCTTATCCTAAAGTCTTATTCAAATGAATTTTGAAACTCACCTTAAGATTAAATAGTAAAATCATGTCTGGTTATTTGCTTTGAATAGTACAAGCGAAAAAGATTGCTAATCTCATTTGTGGTCTAATGTGTCTTATGTATGAAACTGGGTCTCTCTTTTGCAGTTTGCTTCTATTTGCCTATTGATTTTTGTTTGTTTGGATCTGCATGACTTTTAAAAGTACTAGTTGCTTAAGGTAAAAAAATAACAATAGTCTTCCTACCAGAAACACCACATCAAATAGGAAGGGATGTTAAGGTAAATGTGTGTGTGTGCGCGTGTGTGTGTGCGTGTGCGTGTGTATGTGTGTTTAAAACCTGGGCTTGGGGCTGGCCAGTTAGCTCAGTTGGTTAGAGTGCGGTGTTGATAATACCAAGGTCAAGGTTTGGATCTCCTTACTGGCCAGCCAAAAAAAAAAAAAAATCCGGGCTTGGCAGTTCTAGGATTATTCTTCCAGGAAAAGTGAACACCAGTAAATAGTCACTTAGATTGGTTATTTGAAGTCTCAGCCTTCCCAAGGTGGCAAATGGGCCCCACCAGTGAAGAATCCTTTTGAAGTCCGTTTTCTCTTATCATAGAATAATTATCTCTAGGAGGCTTTAAATCTCTAGATATTATTTTTTAAATTCCATGTAAATTGGTACAGCCATTATGGAAAACAGTGTGAAGGCCCCTCAACAAATTAGAAATAGAACTACCATATGATCCAGCGATCCCATTATTGAGTATATATCCAAAGAAAATGAAATCAGTGTGTCGAAGAGCTGTCTGCACTCCCGTGTTCATCGCAGCGCTATTCACAATAGCAAAGATATGGAATGAACCGAAGTGTTCAGCAGCCAGTGAATGGATAAGAAAATATGGTGTATATACCCAATGGAATACAACTAAGCCTTAAAAAAAGAAGAAAATCCTATCATTTGTGACAACATGGATGAACCTGGAAGAATTATATTAAGTGAAATAAGCCAGGCACAGAAAGACGAGTAACACATGATCCCACTTATATGTAGAATCTAAAAATGTTGAATTCATGGAAGCAGAAAGTAGGTTGAATGGTGGTTACCAGGAGGCTGGGGGGAGGACTGGGGTGATGTCAGTCAAAGGGCACAAAATTTCAGTTAGACAGAGGGAATAAATTCAGGATATCTGTTGTGTAGTGTGGTGATTATACTTGATAACAGTGTGCACTTGAAAATTGTTGAGAGTAGATTTAAAGTGTTTTCACTACAAAAAAATATGTGAGGTAATGCGTATGTTAATTAGCTTGATTTAGCCATTCCACAGTATATGCATATTTCAAAGTAACATGTTTGTATTAGTCCATTTTTGTGTTGCTATAACAGAATATTTCAAAACATTGTGTTGTATACTATAAATATATACAATTTTTATTTGTTGATTAAGTAAATAAATAAAATGAAAAAAATCCAGACCGAACGTCAGGACATCTGCCTTCTTAGTTTCTGTGGCTGGAGTGTGAGATGTTTTGGGAAATAGACTGTAGTTGCTGCCATATTATACATTTTGGATATTATGGAGAAGTGTAATACAAAATGCATGAGACTGTGTATCTCTGTCTTAATCCTTTTTGTGTTGCTGTAACAGAGTACCACAGACCAGTCAATTTATAATGAACAGAAATGTGTAATGAACAGAAACGGCTCACAGTTCTAGAGGATGGGAAGTCTAAAATCCAGGAGCCACATCTGGCAAAGGGCTTCTTGCTGCATCATAACTTGGTGGGAGGGCAAAGAGAGGGTGAGAGAGAAAGAGAGAGAAGGAAGAAAGGGGATCGAACTCACCCCCAATAACAGCATTAATCCATTCATGAGGGCAGAGCCCTCATTATCTAATCACCTCTCATTAGGCCTCACCTCCCAACACTTTTGCAATGAGGACGTACTTTCCAGCACCTGCTTTTTGGGGGATGCATTCAAACTATAGGAATCTCTAACAAATCCTTTTTATGAGAAATTCTTCCCACAATTTCTAGCCCTGCCCTCTTTACCAGCCTGGCCTCCTGCCATGGGCCTTCTCCCTGTTCTTGAAATGTGCCCTCTCTCACAGGCACATGTTTCCCCTCTGCCTTGGAAACAACACCTCCTCCTTCATGAACTTCTCAAATGTTGCCTTCTGGAGCCTTCACAGTGGCCCCAGCACTTTAACCTTCTGCCACCTCAACAGGTACATACCTGTTTCCTCCACTGGACCATGAGATCCTCAAGAGTAGTGACTGCATCTGAGTCTTGTTCATGTACTGAGTGACTATCGCAGTGCATGACACAGGGCTGACACTCATGAAATACTTGTTGAATGAACCAGTAAATCAGTCAGTAATTCCAGAAAGGAAGAGACAGTAGTCCACAACAGAAAGGCCCTATTGTTTGCCCAGTCAAGGTCACATGAGGGCCTGAGGGATATTTCATCAGCTCCTTACTTGAGGTTCAAATGCTTATCCCTTTCCCTCCAGATCCCATAGGTTGGCAATGTCCCTGAGCTCTGCCCTCGGGAACAAGATCCTTAGGACTCTTGGGGACGCCTCATAGTCGTCCTCGAGTTCCCCTTACTTCCTCATGCCTTTCCTCTCATTTCCTTCTCTGTCCCCATCTCCTTAGTCCTGTTGCTCCCTCCCCAATTTCTTCTCTTCTCCCTTTCTCCCCCAGACGTTCATGGTGGCCTGCCTCACTCAGGACAGATTAACTGGAAAACACTTGGGAAGGTTAACCTCCTGCTAGCATGACTATTAGACCTTATTATGCTAAAGATCTCCTGCTTCTTGAGTCACATCACAAAAGCACCCTTTTATTACTGTAGCCCCCCCTAGGTTTCAGGCTCCTGGAAGGGGTTAGGTTGGAAGTAAAAAGAAAAAAATCTTTTACAGTTGAATGGCAAAGAGGGTGTTAGAGTGTTAGCAAAGAGGGTTGCCCAGTAGGTTTACCCAGAGTCTTGGAATGCATGCTCCCTAGATAAGATGGGATGACTGTACCACAGACTGGTTGCTTAAATAACAGCAATTTATTTTCTCACAGGCCTTGAGGCTGAGAAGTCCCAGATGAAGGTGCCAGCCTGGTCGAGTTCTGATTTGGGCTTGCTTTGTAGCTTGCAAATGGCCACTTCTTAATGTGTCCTTACTTGGTGGAGAGAATAAGACCCAAACTGTAGCCTGCTCCCCCACCCTTCCCTACCTCTAGGAGCCCTTCCCACCTAGAAGATGGTCTGCTCCTGTTCCGTAGGCATTGGAATGTTTGACTTAGGACATTTTAACTTTTGACCACTGAGTTTAGGTGATCTGCCTAGATATTTGTGACTGGCACCTTGGCACTTCTCTTCTGCATCTGTAGCAGGTTCTGTTAGCCTCCGAAAAGTGGAAGGCAGGTGAAGACAAAACCAGCCCTGACACACACACCAAACCAGACCATAATGATAGCGCATCAGCAATGACCTGCCAAATGGAGTTTGTCTCCCAATTTTGTCAAATACTGTTACACTTCCTTCTCGAGGAGCACAAAGTGGGGCCCCAGCAAATTGAAACTGGAGTCACTTTCATTTCCTCCACGATTCTGATAGGAACTGAGAGGCCGGATCAATAGTACTTGCTCTCATGCCTTTTGTCTTGATTATTTTCGATCTAAATGACAATACAAACAGCGTCTCATAGATACTGCACAACTCCAACCTTATTTATCATTTTTGGCTCAATTCCTGGAATTAAGTACAGACCCTGACTGGGCAAGCTAATCAGCTAACCGTTTAGGGAAGTCTGCACCGCTTCAGAAGAAAAAAGAAGTGGCCCACACAGATTTGATAGGTTGCTGTGCGAATCCAAACAGAAATTCATCTGGAGCTCTTATCACATGTAATAATTTTTTTTCTATAACTGGAATGATCTTTTTCCTGGTATAGATTTTTGTCATTTTCAATAGATGATTTCCTCAGAGCTGAAATCACAATTTATTATTTGTGTTAAATCTAAGAGTAAAGCTGTCACTGCTATTAAACTTTCATTGGACTTGCTCAGTCTTTTCCAAATTTCACAAATTGATTGTCACCAGGGAAGAAAGACTGAGCTTGTTGTTACAGACAGATGTTGTAATTCAATTTTAAAAACACAGCGATTTTCATGCAGCTAGCATATACTAATTTGTATATATTTCTGGTTGTCCGTATTCTGTTCCTATAAAAGTGCATAGTAGCATAGGCCTGTTTTTAAAAAGTGAGAGTAGCTGAATTACAAAGGGAAGATCAGCTTATACCCAAAACTAATTTTTGCTATAACTAAATGAAAAGCAATTATAAATGTAATGTAGAGAAAGTTACTAAAGTATAAAATGAACTAAATTTTAAAGATTTTAAAAATGAGCTCATAATGATGCATGTGATATGTTTAGACTATTCATAGCAAAGAGATTAAGAGCCCAGACTTTAACCCAATTCAAACCCTTGGCACTGTCACTTAGTAGCTGTGTTACCTTGGGTCAGTTTCTTAACCTCTCTATATCTCAGTTTTCTCATTTGTTAAAATGGCCACAAAAACAGAACAGGAAAACCTTGTAGAGTTTTCTGAAGGTTAAATGGCACATTGCATGTAAAGTGTTCAGTAAATGGTAAGCATTTCATAAATAGCGGTGGCTACCGTCATTGTTGTCTTGATTATTATTTATTACTTTTATTGAAGAATTTTTAAAATCTTAGGCAATGAGAAAACTACCGTGTAGATCATCTACCCAATCAAAGTCACTCAAGCCAATTTGAAGAAAATAATGTCTTGTAAATATAAAAATAACATATGTTCATTATTTTTAAATATATAAAATAATAAAAAACCCATAGAACAAAGTTTAAAATACCTAAAGCCTTTCCATCAGAGAGAAACACAGTTTACATTTCAGTATGTCCTGCATTTTTCCTATAAACCCATTTACAAAATTTTAATCATGCAATTTAGCCTGCTGTTTGACTTGAATATTTTTGTTATTAAATATGCCTCTACAACATCATTTTTAGTGGTTTCTACTCCTTTCTGACCAAAATTGGTCTTGAATATTCTGTCCTCAGCCTTTGCTCTTGTGTGAATCTAGCCAGTCAGCAGACAATGGGTCTTTCACTAACTCCAGAATGTATCCATCTGAGCACAAGATGTTAGAAGGGGAACTGGAGGTGGAAGCCTTTGAAAGTTTCTAGCCATATCTAAACCCCAATTGTGTTTATAGCAACAACAATAAAAACAAGAACATAGTATTAGTTTTTCTTTACACCAACTCAGCATTACAACGTGGGGCAAATGACAGCCCTCACTTGACTGGCCTCACAAGGTCAGCCCCACGTGCTCACGTGCAGAAAGCAGGGAACGTCTGGGGGAACCACCAGCCCTGGTACATACAGGACACCCCCAAGACTATCCCAGTGACCATAACAAAATGTTTTCTTTCCCCTGTCTTCGGCCTGTCGTGCTCACGTGCAGAAAGCAGGGAACGTCTGGGGGAACCACCAGCCCTGGTACATACAGGGCACCCCCAAGACTATCCCAGTGACCATAACAAAATGTTTTCTTTCCCCTGTCTTCGGCCTGTGGGGGAGACTAACAAGCCCACTGGTTTTCAGTAGACAGTGGGCACTTTCTTTTTTTCCGTTTAGAAGGTTTTTGTGACTGAAGGATCTGCCTTTGGAAGACTCCTAAGGAGACTGAAACATATTAGAGATGAGCAAAGGTTTGCATTTTAAAACACAGAAATGAAGACTCTTTTGAAGAAACACATATTCCTTCCTCATGGTTTTCTTCATGACTGAACTGATTCCAAAGCTAGATTGGCAGCTCTAGGATCTGAATTTGCAGTCATCTTCAAAGAAGGTTCATTCTGAAGATTTCCTAAGGCTGCCCCCCAGGAACGGTTCTGGGCATGACAGGGACAGTTCTGCAACAGGAATCCACTGGCCCACATGCCATTGATGACCATATCTAAACAACTCACCCCAGGTGCTGCGTGGATATTTAAGCCTCTGTAAATGAGTGAAAGTGAACTGAAATCATCAAAGATTGATAGAATAAGATGATTTAAAAAATTTTTTAATATAGAAAAATTGATTTTATACCATTATCATCAAAAAATGGTTATTTAAATAATAATACTAAAATCTATAATGTAAACCAACCAACGTTCAAAAGGGAAAAGAAAGAACTATTATGTATACTAGAGTGTTTTTAATTGCATTACTGTATTTGGTAAAATTAATGTATTCGGTAAAATGCTCCCTGAAACTAATATGATTTGCATTTTATGTTTGTAACCAGCAGAGGTAGCTGACGGTGATGAAAGACTGGATGGCATTTCTCTACCACCAACAGGTAAAACACGTTTACATTTTCATCACCCGCTGGAATATACAGCATACAAAAATATTTGCATTGAAAATGCTTTTTTAACATTAGAAAGACAGACGCTTGAGCAAACTGCTCTGTAACAGGCCCAGACCCTAGTAATATTTTTCACAGAGTATAAAATGTATGAAAAATTACATGTTTCTCACACTCTGTTTCCTATTTATAAACATCTCGAAAGAGCAAATCCTAAGAACTTAGTATCATGACATTTGGTCCCTCCCAACCTTTGGACATTAAAAAATATTTTAACACAAAATGAGATTTCCCATTAGAACAGGGACCACCAATTTTGTGTGATCAAATTCATGCCTGTTCTGTCTTCTTCCACCTGCTTCAAAAGGCCTTTGAACCTTCAGCAGTTAATCATTGTTCTTCATGTAATGGGCACCCAGTGAGTACTGCATTTTGACTGAGTAACTGAATGAGCCAGTCCATCCACATGATTGGCACAGCCCTAATACTATAACCAGATTGGCCAAATACAGCATCTCATTGAAGCTTTTGCTGCACACTGTTGGAGTAAGCCATAGACACAATTCTGACTTCACATTGCTCACCTCTAGTGTAATACTTCTGACCTTGGCCTGTGTATCCGTTCATATCTGAGAGCCAGAGGGCAAGTATCTGGTCACTGAGCCACATATCAAACAGTTTGCTCCCTCGTTTGCTCTCAGGATTCTTTACTGACTTCCCTTAAGAGAATACCTGAAGATTCTCTGCCCACAAAACCCAGACACTGGAAAAACCCTCTAACTTTTTGAAAAAGCTCAACTCAGTGTTTTTTCCTCTAGATTTAGGGTGGTAAGTTTTAAATTAAATTCAGCCACTATTAGTGGAGTATCTAGTCTGTGTAGGAACTCTACTAGGTCACTTGCTCATTGATAGCACATATCCTGAAATGGCAGTAAAAGCAAAATTCCTAGGTGCAGGGTGGGCAAATGTTGGTGACCTTCAGAGCAACAAGAAGACACAGCCATATCAATGCTACATTGCTTTCTCTGTCACTGAGTAGCTAAGCAACAGATCGATAGACAAATAAATGAAATGAATCACATACTGCAAAAAGGGTCTGCTTACATGAAGTTCTTACCATATGGAGTCATTGTATAAAAGGGGTTTCTCTTCTTGCTTGGCTGTGTTTCCACATTTGTGAATTAAGAGAATTGAAATGCGTGATCTCTATTGTTCCTTCCCAATCTGTCATTCTCTGAATATCAGGACAGCTCATATCAGCCTTACTCTTATCACCTCCGGCCCATTCCCAGTAGATGCAAGAAATGCTAATCATAATCATGAAAGTATGCATTTCAGCAAGGCCCTTTGGAGGAAACAACTTGCTTTTCTCATCGTGCTTCCCAGGGTGCACCACCTGTGTTCTGTGTCATATGACGCGATGGGATTTTGTTTTGTTATTTGCAAACCGTTCCCTTGAAATAATGCCTTTGCATTTTTCTATCTGAAGATGGAGACAGAGATGTTTCAGATAAGGAAATTGAGCACAGGGGATGCTAGAACAGCTTCATGGAACTGAAAAAATTTTCAAGAAATCTGAGAATGAGAAGGAACTTGAGAGATCATCTACTCCAATCCCTTCTTTTTATCCAGTCCTTTTATTTTACAGGAAAAAATGCCTGAGGTCCAGAAACATTAAATGACTTTCCCAAGGTCTCACAGCTGGTTGATGGCCTGGCCGGAACCCAGGTCCCTCGACTCCCAGCCATTACACCGTGTAGCTTTCTTATACCTAAGCCAAAGCCAGCTTTTCTCTGCATGTTTCTTAAAGATCCTCAGAGATGATGGATGTACTAATCCCTTTAGGATTCCATTTCAGTGTCACACAGTCTTCACAATTAGAATGTTCGTTGTCTGTTCACTGCAGTTTAAGCTCATTTATTCACGTCCTTTCTCAAATTTTGCCCAAGGCTGTGAGGTCACAATGAAGAAAGTAATGGAACACACCTGCAGATCTTTTCACTAGACTATTGATAGACATATGATACAAATTTCTAAACAGCATGATAAATAAAAATGCTTATCATTTAGAAAAGCGAGGAGAAGAAGTCGCAGATTGGTGCCCAGATTTTGCAGGAATAAAATTAAATGATCCTGATAGTCTAGCATGTCTCTGATTGCCTCCCTAAAGTAAAATCCCCAGTTTGGTTGGCTTCTTTGAAATGCAGTGCAACCACTAACACCCCTCCTTACATGTGCCCTGATAAGACCATCTGAGTGGTGAATTCCACCTTTCTTGCACACCCTTGGATTTGAGCTTCACTGTTCAGAACCACAGAGGCAACCAAGGACACTGACAGAGACCTTATTTATCTCATTTATCTGGGCTGGCAATAGTTGGTCCTTTTCAAAGATTCAACAATGCCTTTATTACCTTTTTAAGGTCTATTTTCTCCTTCCAGATTTGTGTGTGTTGGGGAAGGGTTGAGGAAGGACTGTACCTTTTTAAGTGTTTCTGTGAACCAGAAGTGACCAGGGCAGGGTTACAGTCAAGCAGTAAAATGACCTTTCTTCTGATTCATTACATATAAGCCACCTTCTCTTTGTCTCCTTTGAACAAAAATGGATGCAGATCCTATGATAGGTGGAGAAACATAATTTCATTTGTTTTCCCTCAACCCCCTTCGGGAAACCTTTTTTAGCAGCTGCGAGAAACCAGCACTGAGTTGGGTTGTGGTGTAATGAGCCTGCCCTCAAACTAGCATGAGAGGTGGTGGCAGCTACGTAAATACTGCAGCCCACGTGTGGAAAGAGTGCCTGGATAATAAAGTCAAACCACCTAGAATCTGGGAATAATTTGCATCTTTAAAAAAACTATAGAAAAAGTAAAATTGAAACAGTACTTTCTGAAATTTCAAATGAGGCTTCTGAGTTTGAAATAGGGTGATGGGGCCGGCCCGGTGGCGCACTTGGTAGAGGGCAGCGCTCCCGCCGAGGGTTCGGATCCCATATAGAGACCAGTCCACTCACTGGTTGAGCCTGGTGCGGGCGCAACACCGAGGGTTGCAATCCCGTTGCTGGTCGCAGTACGGGCGCAACACTGAGGGTTGCGATCCTGTTACCAGTCACGAAAAAAGACAAAAAGGAAAAAAAAAAAAAAGAAATAGGGTGATGGGCTTAGCAATTTTTGTCGTAAATTGGCATTCTTTTATATACTTTTCTTTTTAAAAATTAATTAAGAAAAGTATAAGGAAGAGACAACCATCATTGGGTGTTTTTCCCCAGACTTTTCTCTATAGTTATTTCATTTATCTATATAATGGAGATCAAATACATAAAATTTTGTTTTTTGTTTTCCACCTAATAAGCATTTTTCCATTCTACTACAAACCTTTATACTCATTATTTCAGTAGCTGCGTGTTATTCTCTTGCGGGTAAACCATATTTTACTTAGCCATTTTGTATTACTGGACAATATGTGGACATACTATAACAGTAAAGCCCATTTATGGGCTTTCCTGTGAAAAATAACCATTATGAATTTCTAATTCATAAAATTGCTCATTGAGCACAACTAAAGCCTTGGCTAAAAACTTAACGACTTAACCCTGAAAACACAGACCTCTCCCCATTAAGTTTTCCACTTGTCCAGAACACCTGGCCATGTCGTAGAAGATGTACAACTCGTCCTTAGAGAAGCGGCTCTCCCCCTTCATTTTCTTGTCTCTCTTGTAGGTGATACATTTGACACCAGGAGAGAAAACACGGAGGACACAGAAGCAGGTTTCATTCAAATGAGAGCCTAGGCTTTCATTTTAGTGACATGGTTCATTAGCATACATAACTCTTCTGTTCGAATTTCCTCAAAGATCCACGTAGCAGTTCAGGTTCCTGCAAAGTGTGGGTGTTCTGTAAAGTTTACCTGTCATGTTTTAATAGTTTCATATACTTTCTTTGTAATATGTGATAATCAAGCCTCCAATTTGGTATAAGACTTTTAAAAATTATTTTTAGAGTTGATTTGTTACCCTTTACAAGCCCAGACCTGTCATGTTTTAATAGTTTCATATACTTTCTTTGTAATATGTGATAATCAAGCCTCCGATTTGGTATAAGACTTTTAAAAATTATTTTTAGAGTTGATTTGTTACCCTTTACAAGCCCAGCGTATGAACCAGTCACTTCATTGTCCGTTATAAAGAAGCTGTTTTCTCTTCCCTGTTTTTATTCATAACCTCAATGTGAATGTATAGAGTTTTGAAGCATATTTATTTTTATGTAAATTGCTTAGCTGCAGTATAAGGGAGAATAGCTCTTCCCAGTACTGAGAGAGCAGTTGCGAAGGCCAAAATTAATTAACCTTCATCAGCTTAGAAGATGAAAAAGTAGTTTTGGGAGACAAGATAGCTCTGACCTATTAGATAAAATCATTTATGACATCAGTACCCCCCAAAATAACCATTTATAACCAAGCGCAAATGACATATGAATTCTTAGGAAAGAAAAACCACATAAGTTGTGTCAACACAGTGACAAAATAACTAATTAAAAGTGAGAAGCTCAAACTAACCAGTTATCTACCTGATATCTAACAACCATTTTAACAGAAGGTTTTAACTGAGTGGTCCAGGACTTTGGCACTGAGTGGCAGCCAGCCACGGACGCACTTAATGTGTTATAGTTCGTTTGGTTCTTAATACACTTGCTCTCTATATAAAACCAACATATGAAAATCTGGATTTTTTTTTTTTTTTGCGGCTGACTGGTACAGGGATCCGAACCGATGACTTTGGTGTTATAAGGCTGCGCTCTAACTAGCTGAGCTAACCGGCCAGCCCTGGATTTATTTTAAAGAGATATCTTGCCATATGGTTATTTGTTTTACAGAAATACTGACCTCCAGATTTCTTTTTCTATTAAGATGATAAATGTAAAATACTATTTAGAAACATTGCATTTACAAGTCATGTATTGCATAAAGCAAATTGCCTTCAATCTTTGGCCCTTGACCCAAAGGCCAAAAATTGGCATGAAAGAAATGTGGTCTGTAGATCCACCAAACCCCAGGGTTAAAAAACAGTAGTGCTGACAGTTTAACCTGTTTCCCTAGCACTTAGTTTATCAAACCATAGAATTTTAGAGCTTCGAGTTATTGTAGAGGCCACTGGTCACACCCCTGGCTTTGCAACTGAGGACGCTGAGGAGAAGGGGGTGAAAGGGGTTGCCCAGTGCAGGCCAGTTAACCCCTCAGTGGCTGGACCAGGTGTGGAAGCTGAATTTCCTTACTACCCTATCCAGGGTACTTGTGTCATATCACACTGAGAAACTACATCTAGAGATAGAAGGGGCGCTCTGGAATAAATCAGTATTCCCCTAAAGACCAGCTAATCACCCGAAGGTGATAGAGGCATCCCTGTAATGTGACAAAAAACTGGTTTCAGATATGGCTTGTGGAATCAGTCTAAATACCAGACAGTTACATCGCATATATGTGTGTCTTTTGTCTTCTTTTTGAAACTGCAAGGAAGGTTCAGAGAAATTATTTCCATCATATCTTTTAGTTAGCCTTTTCCATGTCTGGCCAGTAAGTCCTCTCTCTCCTGAAACCAGACCCTTTGTTCTCTGAAGTGGTCTGACAAGGTACTGCAAACCAGGGCTTTTGTTTTTCTGCAGCATATGTTTTAAATTTTGTCTTCTGCCTCCCAGAAGGAAATATTTCTCAAGGGAATAGAAAAGATTAATTAGTGACCTTTCACTCTATGAAAATATGATGAATATGTTGCTGGTAAAGGTAGAAACATTTACTTAGAAGTGTGGCTGTGTTAGATATGCAGCATGAACCTTCAAAAGCACTTCCTTCCAAGACTGGGCGACAGCTTGGAGTTTTCAATACTTGAGGGGGTGGGGATTGTTCAGCTCACAAGTATGTGCAATGGATTCACAAATTGGAAATATTTATCAAAATGCAACAGTAAAATCATATTTTGTAAATTAAAATTTTATTTGTGTTTATTTACTGTGACTACTGTTCAGACTTTATTCAGAAATCCTTTTTATAGGCTTTCTTAGCAAAAAAAAATCCATATCTATGGATAATGTCAATCTTCTGTATATATGTTTTATTAATATGTAAATATTTAGATTTTTAAAAATTACTATGTTCTTTAAAAAAAGAATTCAACACAAGGCTAGTTGTGAAAATGGTGTATAACATCGTGTTGTGATATCAACTCCCAAGATGCTCTTTATGTTTGTTCTGGAAGAATACAATAAATTACTTTAATTGAACGTGCATGTGTCTTGCCTGTGTGACAGTCTTACTGTATTTATGAAGAGAAGTCAGTGCTGTTCATTAATTGAAAGGTATTTATTAATACTCCGGTGATCTTCCACAGAAGTTATGTCTCCTTATGAAGTTAATTTTTAAAAATAAAGAAACAAGCTAGATTGCTACCAGAAATGAGAGGCTTCAAAATGCTAGAAAGTCACTGGCTCTGTCTGGCAATTAGATCAATGGCTACAGCAAGTCCCACAAAAACACTTGAGCGTTAAGTACTGAGATGCTTGAAGCCTAATTTTAAATGAATTAGGTAGCTTTATAATCTTCACTTAAAAGGTTAAGCCCTGCTTCTATGGAAACAACACATCAGAAGGACAAATCAATCCTCTCTAATGCAAAATGGAGGCTAACACATCATTGCTGTATTCTCCTCTTTAAACACAGGAGGGCGCTGCTCCTCACTGGGCACCTGCCCCTTCCTGCCTCCCAAAGGCAGGCCCAGCTTTGAGCGTGCTCCCAGCACTGGAACCCAACTCTGAAATCTGGCTCCATCAGGTCTTGATTCAGGCTGTTTCTGGGACCCTCACAGTGGAGGGCCCTGAGCTCATCAGCAGCCCTGAGGAGTGGCAGGCCTTGGGGGATGGGGAGAAGCTGCCACATAAGAAAGCAGCTGAATTGGCGGAAAGAAGGCGACAGGGCAAGTTGCTTGCCAAAAACAAAATCTAAGCTACAGCCAGCCTGAGTCTTCCACACACCCACACCTCTGTGAAGCCGGGAGTTGGCACCAGCCTTTTCCTCCTGCCACGTGGCCTCTGGCTTCCCCTTGTGTCCACGAAATTGCTTGTAAGGTGCCCCTGTCATGTATTCTGGCCCAAATCCCCTGG